TGCCTCTACTAAAAATAGAAAAACTAGCTGGGTGTAGTGGCAGGCAACTGTAGTCCCAGCTATGTGGAGGCTGAGGCAAGAGGATTTCTCAAGCCCAGGAGTTTGAGGTGGCTGAGAGCTATGATGACACCACAGCACTCTACCCAGAGGGACAGAGTAAAACTCTGTCTCCAAAATAAATAAATAAATAAATAAAAATAAAATAAATAGATGAAATAAAAAAATCTGTTTGCTATTGTTGCTCTTCTTTTGCCCTGGGTCTAAGGGTTGGCCCTCCCTAACCACCATAAATAGCTCTTTAACTTCAACTTATCAGCACATGATGTTAAACTCAGTCTGTATTTTTCACCAGATTCCTTGTTTAGTGAATGATTTAGTCTTATGTGTGTATTTCCCTCTCCTTGAGAATTTATACCGTACTTATAGAACCTAATACATCCTCTTCTTCTCCCTTCATCTCTTTGTTACCAATTCTGGGTACTTTTCAGCAAATGATTAACATATGTAATCATATGTAATAATAAATGTATTAACATACTTGTTCACAAGATTTTCTTCCCTTTACAAAGTCTCTTATGAGTAGAATTCATCTTTATAAATTAAAATTTGTTTATAATTTAAAGTATAATATTTTCGTATTTTTTTAGAGTGAATGGTTTACTGGTAGTTCTTTAAGTTTTCTAATTCCTATTTTGTATAACATTTCAAATGTACAGAAAAAAAACCAAACCAACATTACATACACTCCACATCTACCAAACCATTACATTTACTCTTTAAAAGTTACAATGGCAACTATAGAGCTAACTACCCACCACCCTTGGCATCCCATTCCTCTCCCTTGAGGTCACCACTGTCCTGAAGCCAATGTGTATACTTCTCTGTGTGTTTTCAGATTCCACTAAGTGGTTCAAAAGGTCTTAGTCCTCCCTTCCGAGGGGCTGGCGACTGGGCTTGAGTGCGTCTCCACTCAACCTAGCATGGCTGTCCTGCTGCCTCATGAAGGTGCAAGGATGGATGAATAAGCAACCTTGAAGGACGCTGTATGAATTTTTGTTGGCAGAGACACAATTTTTACGGTAGGTGGGGATGCAAGAAGACAGTGGCAGGAAGGGAAGTTCCACTCATAAGGAGGCTTAGTAGTGCGGAGGGCATGGCTGGGCCAAGGATGAGAAGGAGGTGCTCCTCCTTAAAAGCAAGAGTGCCCTGAGGTGGAAAGCAAGAGTGGCTCTAGCAGACACTTTTGAGAGGACTGGTGGACCGGCAGGGGTCTCTCTGGCCCCCAGGAATGCAGTCTGGGGATTGCTGGTGAGCCTCAGGCCGGGCCAGGCTGTAAGAGGAAAGCGGCCCAATCAGGCAGGCCCCAATGGGCTTTCCTCCAGGTGTATACACACATAAACAGAGACAAATACCAGATGTACACACAAATAGAAGCAGAAGGTGCACATGTCATCAGAGTGTGCACCGATAGCCAGGTGTGTACACAAACAGAACTGGGTATGTACACAGATACCAGGTGTATGTGTACACAGACCAGATAAAAGGAGCATACGCAGAGATACGGAGTGCACTCGAAATCAAAATCAGAGCTTGCCCTCGTAACCAACTGCATGCATAGACAGAAACAGGTGGTGCACTCAAAATCAGAGAGTAGAGCAGGTGTGTACACAAACAGAAACAGGAGTGCACTTGTTGCCAGGCCAAAATAAAGAACAGACTTTTCCTTAGGGACAAGGGATGTCAATTAAACTTGCCAAGCAGTCCTTAGGACGAACGTCCCAGTGGTGCCTCTGGAGGAGAGTCCAAGTCAGGTTTCTCCAGGATCCTTGGTCCCAATCACCTGGAAAGTTATGGGGAACAGCAATACCTACCACAAGCCTTAGGGTGCTGCCCCCACGGGTATGTAATGGGGGTATCAGAACTGGGAACGTGAGCCAAACACTCACGTGGGTTAACGTTGTCCTTTATTATCAAGATTCAGAATCCCAGGAAGATGGGGAAATCATTCTCAAAGCCTGCCTTACTTTGAGAGAGTTTCACAGAGTTCTTATCCCTCCTCAAAAGTTACTGTCTTTAGTTGGGCATGGTAATCCTAGCACTCTGGAAGGCCGAGGTGGGTGGATTGTCTGAGCTCAGGAGTTTAAGACCAGCCTGAGCCAGAGCAAGACCCCATCTCTAAACCAAGCATGGGTGCTTTTATCCCAACTTCTTAGGAGGCTGAGGCAATAGAATCACTTGAGTCCGAGAAGTGGAGGTTGCTGTGAGCTATGATGCCATGGCACTCTACTGGGGGTGACAAAATGATATTCTGTCTTAAAAAAAAAGAAAATTATGGGTGGCACCCATGGCTCAAGGAGGGCATTGGCTCCATATGCTGAGGATGGTGGGTTCAAACCCAACCCTGGCCAAAAAACTGCCAAAAAAAGAAAAGAAAAAGGAAAGTTACTATCTTTAGCTATGCCCAGCTCCTCATCTCTAGCTGAAGGTCTTAGTGGTTGCTACTTTCCCAAGGTGTATATCTGGTATTTTTCTCTTCAGCCCAGAGTCCTGATGGCCTTCAAGGTGTTGGAACAGGGGAGGACTGTCCGACATAACTGATGGATAACTGCTTACAACATTAAGTAACTTTTACCCCTGGGGTGAGGGTGGGGTTGAGGCTGTTTCTCCTCTTACAGGACCATGCAACCTCCTCCCCACCCCCTTTCCCCACAGGCCACAGTCCTTCCTAGCCTCACTGCCTGGCTGGGCATTTACCTGGAGGAACCAACCCGTTTAGTTCCTCTGAAGCATTGTACAAATGGGACAGAGATCTGTCAACTTTCTTATTATTAATCCTCCTCAATTTGGAGTTGCCAGATAAAATAGAGGATGCCCAGTTACATTTGGTTTTCAGATAAACAATAATTTTTTTTAGTAAAAGTGTGTCTCAAATATTGCATAGGACATACTTATATTAAAAGGGTATTTGTTGACTATCTGAAACTCAAATATAACTGGGTGACCTGCACATTTATTGCTAAATAAATTCTACCTCAATGAATTTTGCAAGGATTAGCAAAGCACTTCAAGTGTCTTTGAGAAAGCGTGAGCCAAAAGGCTGTTCTAGCATATCATTAACAAACACAATCTTTGTCAAAGTTCTCAAAAGCCTAAGGTAGACTAAAATAATAACAGATAATAAAAGACAAGCTCACTGACTTTAAGCGAGGGAGGACATGGGCACTCTTTTTAAAAATAACTTTATTGACATGTAATTCACTCAGTTAAAGCGGTTTAGCCAGAATTAAACCACAGTTCATCGTTTTTCAGTACATTGAGTTATGCAACCAACGCCCAAATCAATTTGCAATCATTTTCACCACCTTAAAAAGAAACCTACAACTTGCTAATAGTCATTCTCTATTCCAGGCGCCCTCCCTGTCTGCCACTCTTCAACCCTAGCCCTTGGCAACCACTTGTGGACTTTTTATCTCTTTAGATGTGCCTGTTCTTGAGATTTCATTAAAAATAGACTCATACACTACGTGGCTACGTTTTCAAGGTTCAAACACATTGTAGTGTATATCCTTACTTTAAAAAAAATGATTTTATTTTAGACAGGGTCTTGCTCTCTCACCTGGCATCATTATAGCTCACTGCAACCTGAAATTCCTGTGCTCAAGAGATCCTCCTTCCTCTGTCCTTCGAGTAGCTGGGACTACAGGCGTCTACCTTCCTGCCGGGGCATTTTTTTTTTTTTTTTGTATTTTTGGGTCTCTGGCCCCCCAACTCCTGAGCACACGAGATTCTCTGGCTGTCCTCCCCAAGTGCTAGGATCACAGGCGTGAGATACCATGCCCAGCCCATACGTACTTAATTCTTTGTATGTATATCCGCAATTAGTTTACTCCTCCGTTGATGGACATTTGGGTTGTTCCCACTTTTTGACAATTATGAATAACGGGCTAGGAAAGAACATTGTGTAGAGTTTTTGGGTAGTCCTAAGTTTGTGTTTCTATTGGGGATGTACCTAAACGTGGCCAATGTTCTGAGAAGTGGCCAAATTGTTTTCAAAAGCAGCTGCACCAAACACTTTCTTTTTTAGGATAGAGGGGGACACAATCTCACTTTGTCACCCTCGGAAGAGTGCCAGGACGTCACACTCACAACCTCCAACTCCTGGGCTTAGGCGATCCTCTTGTCTCAGCCTCCCGAGTAGCTGGGACCACAGGCGCCGCCACAACGCCCGCTTATTTTTAGAGACGGGGTCTCGCTCTGGCTCAGGCTGGGCTCCAACCTGAGCTCAGACTGTCACCAGCCTTAGCCTCCCGGGGTGCTGGGATTACAAGCAGGAGCCACCGCATCCGGCCTACCATTTTGTTTGTTTGTTTGGGAGGTTTTTGAACTTTTTTTGGGGGTGGGGGGGATTCACTGATGAATTAGGTTACACTGGCTGCATTTGCTAGATAAAGTCCTTTTTGTAATTTTGTCCCGTCGGCCTACCATTTTACATTCTTGGTTTTTTTGTTAAAATAACGAACCTTCCAGTCTGAGCAAGAGCGAGACTCCGTCCTTAATAATAATAATAATGAAAGCCGGGCTTGCGGCGGTTTCCAGTGGTCCCAGCGACTCAGGCGGCTGAGGCAAAAGGATCGCGTGAGCCCAGGAGTTTGCGGTTGCTGTGAGCTGTGACGCCACGGCAACGGAGGAAGACTGTCTCGGCAGAAAATAAATAAATACAAATAAAAAACAAAGCCTTTAGAGTTTCCCCAGAGTCCCGGAGGCGAACCTGCTCCCAGGGTCCCGACCTTCCTCCCTTCCCCTCCAGGCCGCGGGCTCTGAGGCACCGACACCTCTGATCAGGCGTCCAGTGCCCGGTCGCCTCAGCGCCTCGGGCCAACAGGAAACCCCCGCCCCCCCCGGCCGAGGCTCTGTGGACGTTGTAGTTCTTTTTCCGGTCGGCTGCGCACAGGCTGCGGGGAGGAGAACTACAATCCCCAGAATGCCGCGGTGCTACGGCAGCCGAAGGCCACCGCGTGCGCCACTCCCGCCCACTCTCCGGTCTCGGCCGCTCTCCAGGGAGTCTGTAAACACACCCAGAGACTGTCATGGAGGGGGAGGAGGAGGCGGCGGCGGCGAAGGGAGGCGACTGGGGCCGCCTCCGGGGTCCGCTCTGCCATTCCTAAACGGGTCCCTTGTCCTGGTGACTGTGGCATCAGGGAAGCGAACTGTTAGGCAAGAGGAGGAGGCAGTCAGAACCATATCCCCTTCTTCCCCGGGGCGGGGGCCGGGCCGGGCCAGCTGAGCCGGGGGAGGGCCCGGGGAGGGAGTGCCTGGCCGGGCCAGCCAGTCTGCCGAGATGGATGACAGTAAGGTAAGTCTTGTGGTTTGCACGCGCAGCTGCCGCCGCCGCCGCCGCCGCCTGCTTGTCGCTAAAAGCTAGTTCCGCAGCTGAGCCTCGGCTATGTAGTCCATGCCAACACCCCCCAAAACACCTGCCTTAGACATCCCTTCGCCTCTGGCTATTACCTGATGGTAATTCAGCCAGGAATCCAAGGAACATCGGAGCTGCGTTTTTCTAGGAAAGGCCCTCTCCTGTGGAAAATTTTCACTCCCAGGGCAACCCTGTGTCGCAGCTTTTCCAGGTAGTGCAAAGCTTAGTCCTTGATTTGCCTATCGAGATAAGTGAAGAAAGTACTGTGCTTTTTCTTTTTGTCCTCTTTCGCTCCCTGCCAGCCTGTCTCCAGTGTGAGGACGTTAATTAGTGCACCCAGAACCAGCCCTATTCCCCTTGATGATCCCCCTTCTCTCAGGCTCCCTTACTCAATGCCCCATTCATATAATCAGTTCACTCCCCCCACACACACCCGCGAACTATTTTCCTGTGGTTGGTTGGAACACTCTGCTAAGCTCCTGTTGCTATTCTGCCAGAACCTCCTCTGGAAAACCTTCTCTAAGAAAAGTAGTTAATTTCTTCTTGATAATCTATCTCAATACCCGTCTCCATCTCACTTTCCCTATCCAAACGACTTATCTTTACGATTGTAAGTAATAGATAATGTTCATTACTGGTTACTTCATATAGTTTATATATGATCTTTCTGGCTTTATTATCTGCCCACATTAGTGTTTAATTTTATTTCATGAAGATAGGGATGTCCAAGGCTTCACTTTGCTGATGTTTTAGGAGGTTTAGGAGTTGGACTTTTTTATTTTAAGGAATCAGACTTATAAATTTTGCCAATTTTTAAAGTGAAAATTAGTCCTTCCGTGTTCATTCCAGAGTCATCTTTTCCATAATCTCTGGAATAATCCTCATGATAGCTTTTTCCTTTAGATGCCTTCTTCCTCCACAAATCAGTAAAACTTATAACTGTAAAGTCTCCAACTCCTGACCTCAAGCAGTCTAGCCTCCTAGGCTTCCCAGAGTGCTAGGATTACAGGTGTGAGCCTGGCCACCAGAAAATAATATTGTTATGCTGTTTAAAGATGGCTAGAAAAACATATTGTTCCTTATTTTTCCTTCTTGGGACTCTCAAAGTGTATTCTAATTTTCAGTTGTTTCCTTTGCAGACCTTTGAAACATCTGACAACTTCTCAAAGTCTTCAATAATTTCAAATAAGTTCAAGAAAATACATATGATTATAGGTTTATTTTACTTACCTATGAAATCAGATAGGAGTTATTTCTAAAACTAGCAATCTGGTACAAAAAAAGATGTAAAATTTCATTATTTTGCCTGAAAGAGTAAAGTTAAGTTTTGAAGGTAGGCTATGTATAATTTCCTTGCAATAGTGTACACAAGCAAGCAAAATTAATTCAGTTCTCATTCTTTATTCATTGTTTTTATGAGAATATTTTAAAAATCAGCAGTTTTTAAAATCTATGATT